AAAGAATCATAACCAGAATACTTTCCCAATTCATGTAATGACTGCAACTATATATACATACTGCATTAACCGAAATTGAGGAAACTAAAAATCTGGACAGAACAAAAGCATAAAGAAATTGAAGCTTCACTTCCCTTTTTACCGTCCAGAAAGCTGCCTTCTTCCTCCTCCATTCATGGCTGAAATGTTAGGCTCGGGAACACTCTTCCACGCCATGCAAATCACCTTCCAGAGAGAGCTGGAGAATTGGTTCAGAATCCCTCTTCCTTGGCTAGGATCATCGACCAAATGGTCTACCAAAACAGCCAATAATCTTGCCCTAATCATTGACCTAAGTCTCACAAGGAACCTCCCTGAGTAATACACCGGAGTCTCTCAACCATGGGCTAAGAGTGAATATCAAGGGGAGGAGAAGAAGCAGCCAGCTTCTTCGAGGAAAAACTAGAGAAGATACCGTGAGAGTGAGAAAAGACAGGGAGCTAGAGAGATGTGTATCAAAGAAGCCAAATCCACGTGATATAAGGTTCAAAATCAAGAAAATATCTCACCAAGTTTAATCTCAACCATAGATCAAAATCAAGGGTTGCAAATGATTCAAAAAAGGCACACAATCCGGGTCAAAGCATTGGCCCAACAAGTGATATGGGAACCACTTAAGCCCACAAGTATTATTCTATTTTTGTGATATTGTTTTGAAGTACTACTAAGGGTTTTGAAAATCGTTTGTGATTGTTGCATGAGTGATTCGATAGTTTATCATGGAAGTGATTGTTCAAAGATATCTTAATATATAGTTTAAGTTTTTTGAGACGGATAATTTCACTTTAGGACATTGTTTTGTTACGAATTTCAGTCAATCGATAAATTCTTTTACTTTCTACATTTTAATTGTTTTTCATGAAAGTGATTTGCAACAAATTTTCTCCAACAGTTGAATCCCAAACCCCACTCTTATTTTGGTTCTTGAGTTGGGACACAGGAGGAATTTTTGAGTACGTTAAAGCACAAATTTGACAGACGGATTATGTCCCACAGCTCGCCTGTAAAGCTCGGGCAAAAAGATAATAGCACGGTTCAAAGTCATAAAGTTGAACAAGAGAAAAATTTAAAAGTTCTTACTTTAATTAAACTCTTTATTATTACTTTATTTGATCTATTTTAAAGTAGACAGATACCAATAAAATATTTGACTATATCCAAAAAAATAAAAATAAAATCGAAAATGTTCATTTTTAAATCAATTGAGGCGGACTAATGATAATTATTGCTGTTTCCCATGATGAACAATACCCAAGCCGAACAAACTAGGCAGAAAAGAATGAAAGGCTAAAATCTGCAAACATTTTATAAAAACCCCTCATTTTTTAAGAATAGACCCATGTATTGAAATTTTCATTTTCATTCTTCTACTCATTTTCAACCACACATTATTCAATAAAATAATATTTTCTATCACATCAATAAATTTTCCTTCTTTTTCAACCACACATTCTCCATTAATCTACTATTCCAATATACATTCTTC